ATATTGGCCAAGGAAAACATCATATTGACTGAGGGCAATAGCCAGAGTGTTAATATGATAGGTCTCGAGGCGAATAAAATAAATAAAATTCATATTCCACCAACACCATCAATAACCTATTTATTAAATTGTTTTTTTTTTCTGAAACATAAAAATCAAGAGAAATCCCTGGGAATGGTTCTGATATAGGATCTGATATGTGATTTAGGCTGATACAGGATCCAATACGGGATCTGATATAGGAATCTAGCTATAATATGGGATCTTTTGAATATCAATTCTATTCCCTGTTTATTTCCCAGGGAAAACATGCTATTATGGAATAATTTTATAATTTTGTAATGATCAACTTTTTTTTTTCTGGATGCCTTTGTTAGTCTAAAGGGTCACTTCTTCATGTTAAATTCTTGTTTTTATATTTTTCTTTTTCTAAAAATTAATCAAGAATTTCTCTTTATAAGTCAAGGTCTTACGATTCTTATTCAGATGCATCAGTCTGCATTTGTATGCTCATTATTTCATTTACTATATCCTTAAAAGTACAATAATTTACATCCCAATGATGCCTTGAAGCATGAGCTCTGTCTAGTCCAGCATAGCTTACCAGGACAGGCACATGTGCATTTTATCAGCTAAGGGATTCCTTCCAGGGGGAACAGGTAATTGCTATTGAGTCTATGCTGTCAGTCTTAAAACTAAATATAGTTTAATAGGGAGTAGCCATATCAGCACCTTCTATAACCCCCCCCCCTATAATCATTCAATAGGGACAATTGACGTTACATACTTATTCACACTGCACTCCTAAATGCACTGTTTACCACTGAAGGAATCCTACAGTTGATTAAATTCACATGTGACTCTAAACTACACCTTTACCCATGAAAGAATTCTCATTCGGGAAGTTCAGCTGCATCTCTGAGGATGCGTTGTAGAGCTGTTAGCTGTTTGTGCTTCCGAGGAAAATTCTTATATGATTTATTCATGAAGGGATTATATATTTTATTTGTTTACCCCCCAGTCCCACTCTGTTCCGAGTATATACTCACTTACTTCAAAAGTAGTTCATAAAGCAAACCTTTTAAAGCCATGGCAAGATTCTACAGTTGATACATTTCACCCATTTCTCTGAGGGTTAAGAAACTGTATAATGTTTGTGGTTTGTGCTCCCAAGGAGAATTTTAATCTACAGTTGTACCTTAACCTCCCCTCACCCCATCCATTAACAAAGGAGGAAAATTCTTATATCACTTATCCCTCCCCAATTCATCGATAGAGGATGGCTTATGGACATGATGGCTGATGGTGCTCCCAAGGAGAATTTTAATCTATCTCATTAACAAAAGGAGATGTAAAATGTCTCCACCTGCCATTTGCTACAGATATCGACCATTGACTGCCAACTGCCAACCCTCTAACACCATCCACAAAATACTATAACAAAAGGAGATAGACAGCAGTCACTAATTCCTAAAGTATTTCTAATAACATAGCCATAAAGGGATTCTACAGTAGATAAAGTTCACATATACATGTGTACCTCTGAGGGTGGTGTGTGGAACTGTTTACAGTTTGTGCTTCAAAGGGAAATCGTAATATGACTTATAAAGCTTATATATACTACCTCGGAGGGTCATGTTTGGAACTGTAAACAGTTTTTGCTCCCAAGAAAAAGGATAGGTATCGATATGGTGAACTGAATTCAACAATGTTTTTCTCTTAAACCAATTATTGAAAACATTCTGTAAAAAAACACGGTCCTTTATGTAATTTTGACCGATGGGCAACAATTTAATGCAAAAATTATTTATATATATTTTATATAACTGTTTTTGTTAACATTTTTTGTTTTTTAGTGCAATTGTTTTTTGTTCCTTTCTACCAATTGTTGGAACAAAATAACATATACAACATTTTCTTAGACCTCTCAATATTATAGTTATACAAAGGAAATTTTGGTTGATTTTACAATAAGTATGCAAAAACCTTTACAAAACCCCCCAAAATAGATAAAAATTAAGTTCAACCTTTAATTTCATTAACAAGATACTTTTTTAATATCAACCAAACCTTCCTTTGTACGATTACAATATTGAGAGACCTACACACGTTGTGTTTATGTCGTTTTGTTCCAATGAGGTTGGGATAGATGTTTCATTTCATTCCGAACATATGATACCAAGAACAAAAGAAGTGTTTCAAGTGTCTCACAATATAGAGAAAAGTATATAAATATATTTCAAATTATAATGTTACCATACAAAAGATAACCATTAAATTGACGATGTGTAAAATTTTCAGAATGTTTGATGACTGGTTTAAGAGAAACGTACGTGTATTCAAAAAGTTCACCATATCGATACCACTCCTTTGAAGATGACTTAACCCCCTACTGCTCCACTTTATCAATGAGCAAAAGGAGAAAGACAGAAATGATTGTTTAGAAATATTTCTTATAATATTCCTTTTATATCTAAAAATGATTCTATAATATATAAAGTTTGCATGTACCTCTGACTCTGAAGAAACTCCGAATGACTCCCCCTCCCCCATTTCATTCAATTAATAAGGGAGAAGGACTGGACTTTTCTCACTTATTCCAAAATCATTTTTTCAAATATCCCCTTTACCCATGTGCAGTTGAGCATAATTCAAAGGTTTGTGCGAGAACTCCCACATGGGAAGTGGTGGAGGTTTTGACAAAATAAAGATTGAGCTGTCAAACTCAAATCATGGGAGTAACCTATTTTCAACTTCCCCACCCTGGAAGCAATAATAGAGAGTCAAATATAGTGAAAATTCCTATTATTAACAATATACATGTACTTTTGAAAGTCTCTACTCTCAGGACTCTTTGAATGGTGCATAATATTTGAGAATGTATAATGTTCATGTTCACTAGGAAAATTCTAATTATGTCAAACTTTACATCGTGCACTTTATATTAATAGGCATTCTTAGCATGTACATTATTTTCTTTCGGCCCATATCTTTCAGCCCATAAATTCCCATCCTCTAGGTCTATATATAAACATTGAAACAGGCTTTTGACCCAAGAAATTTGTGTTTTATGACACTTGTGAAACATATTCTTGAAGAAAATAATATACAAGGCAGGACATAAGTAGTCATCATAGAATTTCTGATCCAATTGTGCCACCTCCGCTTTCTTGTATTTCTAAGGGGTAGGGGTCAACAAAGCCATATTAAAAATACAAAATAGTACTTTATCATTACATTACTTACATTACAATGTCACACATAGCTTGGAAATGATTTCTGAATACTACTTGGAGCACTATAACTGCCTATTATTTCTCTGAAGCTGCAACAATAAAATCGGTAAGACGAAAAAGGGGTAAGGGGTAGGGGTCAACAAAGCCATATTAAAAATACAAAATAGTACTCAATCATTACATTCCTTATATTACAATGTCACACATAGCCTGGAAATGATTTTTGATTACTACTTGGGGCACTATTACTGACTATTATTTCTCTGAAGCTGCAAAAGTAAGATTGGTGAAACTAAAAAGATAACGAAACTATGCTTTTTATTTCTATAAATTATATTTTCTCCCAAACCAATCAACATATCTCCCTACAACTTTGGGAAACACTTGACTACAGTGCTAGCAACATAATATCTATAAATCAGTGCTATAGTTAATGTATAACTGATTTTATAGAATGATAATATAGTACCCCCTGAAATATTATTCTAGGGGGGTAAAACTGCTCAGAATCCTTCGTCCACAAACTAAAAAAGACCCAGACATATATGAATTGATGCTAAATGAAGTCATATTTTAGAAACATTATGTCTATCAAGTGGCCCTTGAACTTCCCAAAATCCATGCTATGTCCTGGCCTATAAATCTTCCAGATTTGTTGAATTTTCTTGCAGAAATCGTCTACTCCCCCCTCCATTCATTTTGTCCGATCACCGGTCATGATTATTCATTTCTATTGAATACGTACTATGCTGGCAATTTGGTAAATGATTTGTGTCACACATGTTTTAGCTCCAAATATCTTATGAAACGAGCTTGTTTAGAATATGTATCGTAGAAAATTAGCTATATAACTATCAATGGCATATTACAAGATTATGTGTACTCTATGTAACGGACTAAGTAAACACTGTAACTGAACGATTATTAGTGTGAAAAAACTACATGCATTTGTATAGGGCAACCTGTGCTCACAGTTGACGTTTCTATTTTACATATGCATTGCTTAAAGTTTCCACTGTTCTTGTTGACTGTTCTTGTTGACGTCAGGCGTAACAAACAAATTAGTTTAGCCTACAATTGTACCAGGGACAAACATGTTTTGCAAATCTAGAGTTGCTACCATAGGAATGATTAAAAGAAACAAGACACAGTGAACAGAATCGCACCTGTGAACAAAATACAGTTTTCGGGACGGAAAATTCAAAATGGCTGCCCTAACATTTACCAAGACTACCCAAAAACTAAATTTCATAAACGTAGAAATATTCTCAAACATTTAAGATGAATTCATGAAACATGGAGACCTGTAGACAAGCCTCGACAGACAAGATTTAAGGACGGAAAATCCAAAGTGGCCGAATAACATTTATCCAGAATGCCCAAAACCTAATCAGTTGTAAACTTTCATAATGTAGAAACATCCCTGAGAATCTCAGATGAATCCACAAAACGGTTTGGCTGGAAACCTATAGACAAGCCTCGACAGAGAAGATTTAAACAGAAAATCCAAATTGGCCGCATTACATTTACCCAAAATGCGCCAAAACTGATCAGTTCTAAACGTTCTTTCGGAGAAACATCCCTGAAAATTCGAGATGAATCCATGAAACGGTTTGGCTGGAGACCTGAAGACAAAATAATTCACGGGACACCGGCCTGTCCGCTCGCCCACCGCCCGCCTACCCATCCGCCCGTGGAACTAATCACAATATAGCACCCAAGGGTGCGATAAAAATGAATAAGATGCAATATAACAATAATATAGCCATTTTATTCTACAAACATTGCCATTTATACTAAAATAATATATTTCATGTCACTAGGTTTGCGTATTCTGCATAGAAGCAGCTACTGGTATGTAGCGTTATATTATACCTAATATCTTTATTACTTTCCATTAAGTCTCATATATTTTACAATAAGTGCACTGAATCTTAAATTTACATCTTCACTATATTACTCAAGTAACATCAATCTTGGGGAGGATGCTTGAAGTACATGTGCCAAGTTGTATACACCGTACAGTATGATGTGTGTGTGTATGAGTATTGTACTAGTAGTCAGGTCTTGCGCTTGTTCTACAGTATGTTAGTGTATATTTTCTAACTAATGAAGGGGAATTTAATCTAATAATAATTAATGTTATGGTATAAAAGTTTATTGTTAGTTATTCCCGTCACCATGTTGAATGAGAAGTCCACTGAATGATGAGTCGAATGTGTTAAACCTGATATGGTAACCCGTGCCTCGGTTGTCTACATACACCGTATCTCCCTTGTTTAACTGCACATTCAAGCTTGCACTTCCCCTCTATAAATAAACAAAATAGAATAAAAATGTAAATATCGATTCAAATTTTCAGAAATAACTATGTTTCCTACACAGTATATTTATATATTACCTCTAAACACCCAAACGCTTTCTTAACAACAAAAAAAACAAGTTGTAACTGAAATGGAAAAAAATAAAAACCCGAATGGCTAGTGGAAGGTAACGAGGGCAAATCATCTCTAAGACAACTCATTCCAAGACAACTCCTCCCCGAGACAACCCATTCCAAGTAAAACCCATCCTATCTTGAAATAAAACATAGCTATAACACTTAATTTCTGCAAAAAATATTCTGGGCACCAACATTAATTTAAAGGATTGGATTCAACAATGTTTTTCTCTTAAACCAATTATTAAAAACATTCTATAAAAAACACGGTCCTTTATGTAATGTTGGCTGATTGACAACATATTTTGTTTTTAGTGCAATTGTTTTTTTGTTCCTTTCTACCAATTCTTGAGAATGAGATAAAATATATTTCCGAACCTTGTTGGAACACAATAGCAGATACAACATTTTCTTAGACCTCTCAATATTATAGTTATACAAAAGAGATTTTGGTTGATTTAACAAAAAGTATTCAAAAAATTAAATCAAAAATAGCTAAAAATTAAGATAAACCTATTATTTCATTAACAAGATACTTTTTTTAAATCAACCAAACTTTCCTTTGTACAATTACAATATTGAAAGACCTAAGCACTTTGTGTTTATGTCGTTTTGTTCCAATGAGGTTCGGATAGGTGTTTCATTTCTATCTAAACATATGAAACCAAGAACAAAAGAAGAGTTTCATGTATTTTCTAAAACAATATAGAGAAAATCATATATATATTTCAAATTATATTGTTACCATTCAAAAGATGACCATTAAATGGACGATGTGTAAAATTTTCAGAATTTTTTTGATGACTGGTTTAAGAGAAACGTGTGTTCAAAAAGTTCACTATTTCGATACCAATCCTTCGAAAAATTTGATCCAAATCCGTCAACTGGTATTTGAGTTTTCAAAGATTATGTTTTTACGAAAATGGCAGCCATTTTGAAATTCAGGACATCTAGAATATCCCTTCTCGAGCAAAGCCCCTTTATCCATAGGCTACAGTAAAACATTTGAACCAAAACCGTAGGTTTGAACCTAATCCGTCAACCGGTGTTTGGGTTATCACCCAGACACACGAACAAATGGACGCACGGACGAAAGGCTTCTCTATATCCCTACGAACTTCGTTCCTTGGGTTCAATTTGAATTAAGCTGCCATGTTAAGAATTCCTTCTCGAGCAGAGGTCCTACACCCATAAGGCATAAGCCTATAAAAGGAAGAGGTGCGTTTATTGGCAAATACCCCTATGGTCAAAATGAATAATTCTTAGGTGTAACATGAAGAATAGAATGTCATATGACTCTTTGGAAAACATTAAAGTGCTCGGGCACACATAGGCTGAGATAGGGACCATTTAGTTCAGTCAGGTTGTATTGACTTACATGGGGCTGTGCATCATTGACATGAGGATATAAGCAGAGGCCATTGGTTTCCATTGATTATCACAAAATACCAAAAATACACTATGGCCTGAATCGATTGCAAACATGACACAAATGGTTTATCTCGTCAAATGTGCAAATATGAAGTTTGCAATCGATTCAGGTCATAATTAAAATTAAAAGATTGTTCATTTTTTCATCATTTTTTTCCTACAAAATGCCTATAGAAAAATGCTCCAAAAAGAACTTTTACACTTATCAAGAATCATACAACTTTGTAAAACCAATTAATATACTATTATATTTCATCATGTAGTAACATATTTGGATAAGATGTAGGGATGTGGAGGATGCAAATGGATTTTGACAGACACAAAAATACTTCCTGGTTTGGAATCTATGCCTCTACCTTCATGATTGAATTATGACCCTAATAAGTGGCCTATACATCAATACAGTGCTGAATATAGGTCAACAAGATACTAGTGTGCATATAAATGTAATAATTAAAGCAGAATACTCATTTTGAAAAATCAGATGAATTTTTTTCTCATGGGGAGATCCAAATGAAATATGCATATGGTCCTTTGAACCTAATCCGTCGACCGGTATTTGGGTTATCGCCCAGACACATGAACGGAGGGATGGACGGACGGACGAAAGGAGGGATAAATTTTCCATATCACTACGAACTTTGTTCATTGGGATTCATGATGACAGTGTGTATCAAGCTTTTCTAAAAAAAGAACAAGTATAAAAAGTAGTAATGGTTCCATTTAGCTTTGCAATTGAAATGTTTTCTCTCATTTTAACACTACTTCAATGAAGGTTTCCGGGTTTCACAAAACAAGACCATTTGCAGAAATTGTGAAAAGTTCGAAATGACACGTTAAATCAACTTACACCAGGGTAACTACTGTATGGATCGACCTCTATTACCCTCAGTCGTACATTATTCACTCGTATGAAACAATACACAGTATAGGAACCGTATCTTTGAAGATGGGACTCAAAATGGTATAATCCTTGAAAAGGTGCAGTGAATAAACCTAAAACAACATAAAGTACAGGATGATTAAGAAATCTATATAATACGTATATATTAGGTAGATCATTTGGGCATATACGAGGGGTGATCAATACGTAATGGACGCTTTTTACATAGATGCTTTTTATAGACCAATCTCTTTAATTTTTTCACCAGTGATGCATCATTCAATTTTCTATCAACCCTGACGATTTGGAGACAAAATATGAAATATATTTTGATATATCTTTATTTCTGTGAAGGATGTATGGGTACCCCGGGACCGACATAACGTCACACATTCTGAAGCTATTTAGCTCATTTAATAGTACAATAACGTCATTTCTAAGGGCAATATAGTGAAATGTTGGACCTCGGTACAATATTTCACTATATTGCTCGCAGAAATGACGTTATTAGTATAATTACCACCGTTAACGACCAGGACTGAAACAGCAAGAAAATCTTACGCATTGAACGATATCTAATTTCCCGGGGAAAATTGCCGGTCCAGAATATATTCTAGACAGGTGTAAAAGGGTAGGAGGTCCGATTAATTTATGGTCCTACTCTCCATTGATTCATATGGTGACCTCTTTGTGCTCTTTCCCTTATTATCTTATACACAATCAGGGCCAGCAAGGGCCTTTAAAAGGGAGGACCATAATCCCTGGGGGACCATAATTTGTTTCACACCGGTCCATATGGACCACCACCATGACGTCACACATTTCTCAGGTCGATATAGTAAAATGAATGCCTTCTAAACTAGCACTAAAACCCCTAGAACTGGCCCGGCAAGGTGGTAATAATGTGCGATGCAGTTTAATGCAGGTTGAACAAAACGAACCATGATGGTTTTGAATTACACCATTTCGATACGCCATACGATTATGAATATCTTGCTTTCACTTTGTGGCATTCATGCCACATTCATTCTTCAGGGCCCTCTACATGGGTTACATTAAGTGCTACACACTTCCCCATTATCCCCTTACTCACGATTGAAAGACATGGCCGATTCCATTCTCTGACGTGGTAGCAAACTGCAGTTGCACAGCTTGTTTTATTTCATCAATGTCATTTAACCTGCATCATTTTTCTATAGAAAAAGTAGTATAGACATAAAAGTCACATATGGCCAGATCTGCACTAAAGGGTGCATGCGCCAAGGGCTTCATGTTCATGTCCAGGGATATTGTATCTTGGACATTTTGAGATATTTGGGCAGGAGCATTGTCCACATGGAGTAGGGTGTTACCTCCTCTCACTAACCTCTTCTTCCACATTGCATTCTCAATCAACCTGCAAACCCTGACCATACAACACTTTAACCTTACAATACTTATCTTTTATGTGTTACTACAGGCAGCATGATATTCAAATAACACAACTCTTGTGGCAAATCAAAAAGTTCAAATCTAACTGATATGCCAAGTTGGCATTACTTCAGAATAAGCGACGTAAATGTCGGTCCCGGGGTACCTGTACCCCCTTCACGGAAATAAAGATATATCAACATGCATCACATATTTTGTCTTCAAATCTTCAGAGTTGATAGATAATTGAATGATGTATCACTGGTGAAAAAATCAATGAGATTGGTCCATAAAAAGCATCTGCGTTAAAAAAGCGTACATTACTTATTGATCACCCCTCGTATTTCATGCTAATTGTTATTGAATAGGCAGTCATCGTACATGTAAGGCCCCCTCACATATGAACGAATCCACCAAACGCAGCCTGACGCATGTGGTAAATGGCGAATATTGAGCGAAAATGTTTAAAAATATGTTACACAATAGAAAACATAACGAATAGTAATGTAAGGTAACTATTTGTTGCGAATGTTTTACGAAGTGTGACGAATTACTACTTTTCTTCGCTAAGATGTGTTGCCTCTCGCAAACAACCTTTGACATCCCCTTCAGCGAGTAATAACGCATACATGCGAAATAAAGCGTAATTATGCGCATTCTTCCGAATCTGAACGAAGCCTTACGAAAGGCAGGAGGCGTCAGCGATTCCCGTCAGCGATTAACAACGCATACATGCGAACCAAAGCGCAATTTTGCGCATGCTTCCGAATCTAAACGAACCTAAGTTCAAGCAGATTTTTGGCAATATGTTCTGTTACCGTGCCAATATACAGGGTGACACAAAAAATGCCACCCACTTATTCTGAAATAACTTTGTTAATAACGACGGAATCTTCGTTATTTTTTATCAAAGATTGATGTACTTGAATTGCATCAAATACAATTTTTTGAAATTGAGATTTCTTTCTTAGCCATTATTTGTGTCATTTCTGTATTCCTTTCACATATTTTATCATTTAAATGTCATATCTACCCATTTTCCTTCATATTTTGTGCTATATTTGAGGAACTGACTCACTTTTTAAGTAAATTTAAAAAAAGAAAGATTCCTAAATTACATTTTCGAACGATTTTGTGTCAGAGCATGCCTCCGCGGAAAATGTGATATCTCTTTATTCTTAGTTATTGATGCAATGCAAGCATACCAATCTTTCTTCCATTGAACACTCTATCTACACATAAAAGAAAGTCATTCTGAAATAAGTGGGTGGCATTTTTTGGCGTCACCCTGTATTTAATATGGCTCTTCTGACATTTCTAACATAGTCTACCTTAATTAAGAGGTCGTAGTCAACACAGATGTGAAATTCATACAGTGATCATCCATTGGGAATGTTATTAACACGTACAATTGGTTACCATGCCAAGCAATTATTGTAATTTCTTCAGTTTGAATGAAATATCCCTATGTTTTATGATTTTTGGTCGTAATATTTGATATTAGAATGGAAGGGGAGGGGTGTTGGACACTGTTTCTTTTGACGCTTGAATTTCATTTAGGATAGTTGGGGTTTGTTTTTAATGACAATATTCGCTTAAAGATTTTGTTTCTCTTGTGTTTTCTGATCATGTTTGATATTTTCCCTTTGATATTATATCAATACATTTCTTATTATTAGACTCGTAAAACAAAAATACGTTTAAACTAGTTTTTACAATTTATGTCAGGCAAATGACACTTAATTTCAAGTTGACACAGTGCTTTAGATTATTTCTCAAAGTCCAACCTTTAATTTGGCACGATCCTGTCTAGCCATGGTACACTTCCTGCTGGAGAGTTGACCCAGTGCTTCAGAGTATTTCTCACAATCTTCCCCTTTTTGTTTGCTGTGTTGTGGCCTCTGATATTGGCAGCCCTGACATCTTCCAAGTTGCGATCTCTCCTCCATTCCCCAGGAACCATGTCGCCTCGTCTGTCCTCTTGGTCAATCAGTGCATTTTGCATTGTAGGGTACCTCATTCTCATCAAGTTGTGGAGAATGCAGCATGTCTTGACTATCGTTGAGAGGAGTACCTGAAATGTTATTATGCGTTAAATTGAATTAATTTGAAAATACGGATTAATAGTTAAACTGTTATAGGTCGAATGTGGAACTCAGTTGGTTCCAATTTATGCGCATCTTTCAAATTATTTATCAAACAAAACATACTATTTTTCATGTCTCAATTAGCGGAAGTTCGAATGAAGTCTCATTTACTCGAAGTCGAATAAACGTATCTAGATAGTCCCAGGAACTTCGAGTTTAACTGTTTGTTTCGCCGACAAATATTATAAATTACAATGTACCTGGAATCGGTTGGCCAAAATTCCAAAGGCGTTTTCTGAAACCCTCCTAGCCCTCGATAACCGGTAGTTTAGAATTATTTCCTCTCTAGTGAGGGTTCTATGTCCATAGGGCTTCTGCATGTGATCACTGAGGCTGAATGGGTCATCCCCTACCAAGAAAAAAGGCATATCAACGGTGTCGTTGGGAAATGGCTGTTGGTGTGGAAATGCAATCGAACCATCCTGCACCATCTCCAAGAATTCCGATGCATTATAGATCCTGGCATCTCCACTTGCACCATATCCTGAAATTATACAAGAGTAAGAGGATAAAATATTGTCAGTATGCATTGCAAATATAGCTATAATTGTATTAAATCTATATAATTACAAAATTAATGCAGTAACGTATGTAGAGTTTACTCACCACCCAGATCACACCACACGAACTTGTAGTCTGAGTCGACAATTCCCAGTAAGATGATGCTGTAGAAACCCTTATAATTATAATATAAGGAACCAGAGCTATTAGGCTTTCTGATGGCTATGTGTTTGCCATCAATTGCAGCAACGCAATTTGGAAAGTTCCACTTCTCGAGGAAACCATCAGCCAATTGTTTCCATTCTTCAGGTGTGGAGGGGGCTGTCATGACCCCATCAACATATTCGTCACATATAGCTTGACAGACTTCTCTTACCACTACAGAGAGGGTATTCTCAGCAACCCGCCAGGAGTACTGCATGTCAGAGTACTTGGCACCAGAAACCAGGTGGCGAATAGTGGCAGCTAGTTTGAGGCCTGGACCTAAAGGCTCTCTGTACCAGCTATGTTGTTTCCATAGCCGAGGACGGACCCTCTCAAAGATTTCGTCATACATTTCTGTTGGCATACAGAGGAACTTTTTGAATGTTCTGGGGTCCTCTCTTCTCAGCTCCACCATGAGCTGATCATATATGCCGAATTGGCGCCGTCTCTCTGGATTCAACCATTGTCTCCTCCAGATGCCACGTCCTCTGGCTCCCCTTCTCCGCCTAAAACGGCCTCTGATGAACTCATGAATGTTAAGTTGCTGCGTTAAAACTTCTTGCTGGGCCATAGCAGCCACATACTGCAGCCTCAGTCGATCTGTGTCTTCCATGACAAAATAATTATTTGATTTAATTTGGTATTCTCTCAATTATTCAGCTTAACGTAGATCCAGTTCGTAAGTATTCGTTCCACTGCGTACAAGGTTGCAAACTGCCGCAATGGTTCGTAATGGTTCGTAATGGGATCGTCGTCAGTCGCTTAATATGCAAATTATGGGGATACGACCTTATCCCCAGCGATCTGTAACGTCACTTGACGAAGCCAATGCGAAGGTTAACCGATCGTTA